GATCTCTACAGTGCCACAGAAAGAGCCCAGAATAAGGTGACCAAAATTCTGGCCCCTATTTTGGCCACTAACTAGACTGGATAATTTTAAGGTAATTTGCTACTGTGGTGTTCTGTCTCTTTTGAAAAAAATAGGTGATCTTGATGCCTATAATGTCTGGTCAAGCTCTAAGATTATATGTTTCTTTGGGCTATACAGAGGCCAGAATTGGAAAGTTCATCTTAAGGGCAAGTATATCATTGCTGAGCAATTGTGTGGGAGAAATCACTTCATTTAATATATGTATTAGCTAGTAATAAAATAGTTGATTTAGTCACCTCTGGAAAGATAAGCTAAAATTACAGCCAGTTTGACACTTTGTAATGGCTTTAAAAGTTAGTACACATTTGAATTTAAATCAGGACTGGATGTGGCTTTATCCTGAAACTACGAGCCATCACCTGGGTGTTGTTTTCTATGATGTGATACAGACTATACTGTCAGGCAGTGTGAGTATATGGCTGTTATGTGCAAAGACTGATTTTCTGAAAGTTGTGTCCTGGGGTGGACGGTATTCACAAATAGTTAGGTTTTCTACTTTCTGACTTTGTTACTCACCTAAGCTTAAGCCATGAAGTGAATTTAACATCTACAGCTTTGAGCTTTAATTATCTTATCGGCTGCACTAGTGTAAGGCATTTAGAGGGCGTGCATCTAGTAGATAAAGCAGTATTTCTTTCAAGTAGGATCTTGGATTTCTAAATAACAAGATTTCCATGCCTACAGGTTGAAGCATGATAGCTGTTCAATACAGACTTTACCTACATGAGAAAAAGCCAATGATTAGATCTGTTCCGTTGCTATCTCACAAGTTTTCTTTGCTGAGAAAATGGACAGATGTGTGGTATTTCTTAACTAAAATCAAGATCGGTGCACTTAATGGTCTTTCATGCACAGAATTAACATTTCTCTTCCTATTTATTACAAACACCATCTGCGTTTGGGCTGAATCGTTTTTAACAAAATGCTAGGCTTCATCATCCTAAAGTAGGTAGGACCTAGATCGCCATTGCTTTCCTCAACTCTCCGTCCTGGAAGGGGTGTATTTCCTCTAACAGATCTTATATAAAGGAAATTGGTGTCACCAGGTCACAGTGGAGTTTTGGTCATAGAGCTGAAGGTTTGGGTAGAAGTGGCACCAGCAGGTGCTAGAAGTGCAGGTGAGGCCACACAGTAAAAGAACTTTCAAGACTAAGACACTTTTATTTTACCCTATAGATGACAGAGGGTCAATAAAGGGGTTCTAGCAGGGGGATGATGTGGTCATGTTTAGGAATGGTCCTTCTGCAGAGAATGGATTCAAAGACAAAGACTTGAGCACGTGACTAAGCGGGGAGGCCTGAGTAAAGGTCCAGATGAAGATGATGAAGTTGCTGCAGTTTGGGGGCTAGAACAGGAGGGATGGAGTTAGGAGACTTGCTTTTCTTCTAGGCACTGTGGGGATACAAACTGAGTCAGAAGAGCACCCTCCTCTGGGAAGAACTGCGTTGTCTTTGTGCTTCAGTTTCCACGTCTGGACATGGCATAAAGCAGGAGCCTCTATCTCAGTCTGCAGTCATGCTCCCTCGTCGTTCCTGGCTGCTTTCTGCAGCTTGCCTTTGCTCTCCTTTGTGCACATCTTGCATCAGCCAAGGGGAAAAGGTCTGAAAAAGCAGCGTTGTTTTCCTTCTATCTTACACTCCAAGCCCTGTCAGCCAACCATACTGACACTGCCTCACAGAATTGGTCAGTCCCAAGTTAAACACCCTCGTCACTTAATCCTCCAGTCGAGTGGCTGCTCTGCACTCAGGGGCGTGCCTCTGTGCCTTTTCTCTTGGTTATTTTTGTCAGGTGGTTCTATCTCATCCACCAAGAGGGTGTCCAGAGTGTGCCCTGAGGCGTTCTGCTTGGGGAGGCAGACAGCTGGCCAGGTGTAAAAGCAGTTGTCTTGAGTTACCCCTTTTGATGGCTTTCAAGAGATGCACATCTTCTTGTCTCAAGGAAATGGTGCATAATTCCCTTCCCTCTCCAGGCATGTTAACGGCAAAAATCCTTTCAGCACAGTGTGAATCTTGACAGAAAGAAATGTGTCGTGTTTGGAAAGGTATTTTTTGTTGAAAGACACTGAAACTATTCTTTGAGTATTATCTGCTACAAAGTGAAAAGGGCCTACTTATTATTAAACTGGACTCTCTGGAGGGACGTTGGGAATTCCTCCTATACGCTTGGTGCCCCTGACATTAGAGCAGGAGATGACTGTTGGTTGGATGTGGAATTATTTGCATCCCACTGGGTGATGAAGGAACAAATACTTTTAGCTTCATTAAAGCACATTAAACATGTTGCCAGGCCCTGGACCACCCTGGAGTCCTGCAAACCCCAAGGAGACAAGGGCAAGTCAGCTCTTCTAGACACACCCTGACCTCTGCCCCGGGTCTTATAGTAATTCAGGCCTGGTAGCCCTCATACGGAGCCCGTGGTCCTGGAGAAGTCCGTTGCTTGTCGGGCTACTCAGTGTGCTTGAATGGAGAGAACTGGGAGGTGGCCAGAATCTCTGGGAGATGTTTCTGCCCATCTGCTTGTTAGTTGGACAGATGTGTCAGTCTGGACAACTGGGTCACCTAATGAATAGAAATTTAATTTACACGCAGGGATTAAATATTTTAGTGGTACCCATGCCACCTCAAACTTCTTGGACAGAGCCCAGAGGAAAATGAAAGGCATTCAATGAGTTGCTAATATGTAAACAGAGTCTTTGACTTACTTTTATGACTCTTAGGTTACTTAATTGGATGCAATGCAGCATGTATGGGGCAGATGATCACCCAGGCTTAGATGTGAGGGGTCTAATGATAGGCACCGTGGTGGGGCTTGCTACATGCGTTAACTCGGAAACCTGAGACAAAGGCCAATTTGTTTTAGGTAATCTCAGTTGACAAATATTTATTAAGTACCCATGCACTTTGAGAGGGGCAGGGAGCATACACAGACCCTTGAAGTTCTGCCTTCAGTGAGTTGTACTCAGCTGAGGGACAAGAGAAATTCACCTGTGACAGTTAAAAGTAGAAGTGACCCTTTGTCTTAAATTGTTCATATGCTACAAAACCCAAAATAATAGTTTATAACTAGGGAACATGTAAGGACTAGAGAAGTCAGAGGCTGTTTTGGAGTAGACAGGATTTTAGAAAGAACAAGAGAGCCCTCCAGATGAGGTGCACAGGACAAAGGTCAATTCAAGCAGGACCGAGAATTGCTTTTAGGTGGGAGCACGTAGTAGTCCAAGCAGCATTAACTGAGTGCCTCCTATCTGCCAGGCACTGTGACTGCAAAGAGTTGGGGTAGATTAATGATGAACCCAAGGGACAGTTCCTGCCCTCCAAGGAGCTGCGAGTGTAATATGGGTCATTTAAGTTGATAGCAGAGCTGTGGAACGCGGGGCTCTCGATATGGTTCACAAGCTTTGGGAATTACGGCCTGGAATGGTGATAGCCTTGGAAACCGGTATAATGCAGGATGGCCTCAGATCGCGGAGTTAAGCTCTGACCATTCTAGCAGAAAAATTCCAGCACACTCTTGGCTCAGGGTGGTCATTCAATGCCTGCAAGCCAGCCCACTGGAAAACCAATCCCGAAGGTTTCAGTTCTCAGAATGTGCCGGTGCGGCGGCTCAAGTAAAACGGGTTCCCATACTTTCCCGTCAGCTGGCCCTGAAGCCTGGTGGGAAATATGGGCTCAGGTTTAAAATACTTCAGCATCTGTAGCCAGCAGCTGAAACTTGAGAGAATAAAGTGGTAGTGTTGTGGAGGGCTGGACCCGTCTGTCCTCCTAGGAAGGTTCCAGTCACAGAACAGAAAGTTTTATTTTAAGAGGAAATCTGATGAAAGCCAATGTAGTAAGGGAAACATTTTTTTTTTTATAATTCCTGCTAGGAACAAACATTCAATTTGAATTTTAAAAATAAGACAATAATAGTGTTACCTGTTTCCAAACACAAATATTGTTTAGAAGCCATGAGTCTGCTTTATTTGTTTCTGGGCTTTTATGAGATATTGGTGGTAAAATAATCAATTTACTAAAACCATTTTAGAAAAATATATATGTCTACTCTGCCTCCAATTCATGCATGGTACCCTTTTGGCAGGATTAGGTTGAATTTTAATACTAACACTCTTGCTGAAGAGCTAAGAAGCTGTAGAAGTGGTATACTTAGGGAGTGATCCCTCTCCATATTCAGTGTGTGGTTTACTGTTACCAAGTGCAAGCGATATAAAAAGAATGTTCTTGTGTGGGCTTATTTGCATTTGTCATTAAGGCTCTGCCATGCCAGTGAGCCCTAGAAGCGGGCTCACGGTGGGCTTTCGCCCTTGTCATTGAGCCTCACCGGTGCTGTTCCTTGCAGGGTGCCTGGCGTGGCTGCTGCCCACATCTGGGCTGTGGTAGAAAAGTTCCGGACTGCCCAGGCGACCAGGGAGCTCTTGGCTCTGAGCATGGCCAGGCCTGCAAACACTTGGTGGCCTTGATGGACCCCTGGGTGATGATTTAGTTTAAGCACTGTCCTACCTTTGTATACATCCCCAAAAACGTCTTATGTGATTTCAGTGTTCTATAGCTTTCCAGTAAGGGAGCTTCGCAGTGACTCTGACAAAGTGAATGCCTGAGGTGGCTTAAACTGGCATTGGGACCACTGAAACTCGGGTTTAGTGGAAAGTAAAATAAGCGCTTGTTGGGTGCTGAGGTCTCTGTGCTATCTTCTATCTACTGGATTAGGATATGGGCTTCCTTGGGGAACATTCGTCTGTGCTCAGCCCTTCATGCATGTTGTCAGGGGGTCCTGAGGAATGGTAGGGCCAGAAGTGGGAGCTCAGAGGAATGGAGGAATGGAGGAGAGGGCCAGCTGCTCATTGCAGTGTAAGTCTGAAGAGTAAAATAATTAAGCACATTTAATTTCTCACCATTCTGAATCCCTTGTCTTTCCTTTCTCAGAGGGCAGAGCTGACGTCTGATAAAGACATGTACCTCGACAACAGCTCCATTGAAGATGCTTCAGGAGTGTATCCTATTGATGACGATGACTATGCTTCTGCATCGGGCTCAGGTAAGGCTGGGGGTTGCCACTCTCCCCATGCTCCGTGCCTGCACATGCACACACACACGCACAGTGTCCTGGAATTTACGTTGGGGAGACAGGCAGGTGCACAGAGGTTGAGAGCATGCTCTTTCGAGTCCTAGTGCCTGGGTGTGAATTCTAGCTCTCTATCACCTAAGCTGTGAGATCGTGAGAGTGTGTTTAACTTGGCTGAACCTGTTTCCTCATTTATTGAATGGAAGGTCACAACCACATATGCTTGTTGTGAGCATTTAAGGGGTTGAAGCCTCTATAGTCCTTAGAGCTTGCTGCTTGGCATGTAGTCAGTGTTCTGTCAACATTAGCTTTTTTTTTTTAAGGCTTTCACAGTGATGTCATGAAAACCACCCTTAAATAAATCCCTCAAACACTAGTTTTATAAAACTGTCGACCCTATATTGAAGATTATGGATGAAATCAAGGAGAGTTATACTTTCTTACTCCTAATATATTGCTCAAAAGTAGAATTGCACAGGGATATCCACAACTCCTTGGTGCATCAGCTCTTTGTTGCTTCAGTAATGCTGTATAACAAACCACCCCAAACTGCAGTGGCTAAAAACAACAATCATTCATGCAGCTCATTATTCAATGGGTTGGCATTTTAGGCTGGGCTAAATGGACTCCTGCACATGTCCGTGGTCAGCTGCAGGCTGGGTATGCAGCTTTGCTGACCTTGGCTGGACTCTGTCATATATCTGAAGCAGCTGGGCAGACTTGGCTCTGGTCCACATTGTCTCTCATCCACTAGCAGGTCAGCCATTTGTTCCCAGGGCAGAGGCAGAGATCCCAAGAGAGCAGAAATGTGCAAAGCCCCTGAGCGCCTAGGCTTAGAACTAGCACAGCATCACTACCCCGTCTTATTGGCCAAAGCAAGTCACAAGGTTTGCTTTCCTTTCATTACTCCGCCTTGTAATGAAAGGAGCTACAAAGTCACATTGCAGAGGGTGCGGATACAAGGGGAAATAAATGATTCTGGCCATTTTTGCAATCTACCGTACCTAGTAAATGTGTCACCTCTGCCGGGAATGGTGCCCAAGAAGCTGAGAAAGAGCATGTGCATATATTTAATCAATGATCAAGTCAGGAAATTGTGGTCAGCAGCATGTTAGGGAAGTCTTATCTAGGACCTTTCTTGCTTTAAATTTTCATTGTAAATTCAACGGATAGTAAAAGTTATGTTGCACGTAGATGTCCAACAATCAGATTGGCCTGGGCTTGAGAATGACCCAGAACAAGTGAAAATCAACGGTACCTTTGGTAGCGATCTAGCTGTGCACGAGTCAGTGCTCTAAGTTAGAAAATGGCAAGTCTGAAAAAGACGAGAGAGGTGGCGGCTGACCTAGTAATGGTGAGCTTACAGTGCAATCCTAATGTAAAAATAGCCCTAGTTATTCTCAGAAGAGTGATACATATTGCACACACAGACTGAGTGTGAAAAGAGTGGTTCTCCATAGCCCACAACTCTATTCATATAGTTCACTTGCGGTACCTCTTTTTTTTCTCTTAGCACCTCAAAAGTGCTTTGTAACTGTCATCTTCAAAATGCCCCAGGAAATAATAAATATGGGAACTTTTCTGTCCCCGTTCTACAGATCTTAGAATCCAAGAGCTGTTGGAGATCTGTAGCTGTTGTCCAAGTCACTTGGATGATTTCTGCCAAGATTGTCCTTAAGTTTAACATAAGAAAGCAGGTAACACAGCCCTGCTCCTCTGCTATCCCACCTCTCCTCATTGGGGTGAAAGAGGTCTGGAGTGGGTTGTTTGAAATCGTGAACCCACTAATCAGATAGATTGAGTTGAGGCTTCAGTGTGGGCTGGCATGGCTTCTTGACCCCAGCCGGGGACAGATGATTGTTGTAAAGAAGTTCACCATTCGGACTTTGGAAAGCATTGCCCTGAGGATGTTATTTCTCAGCCTAAAAAATAGAAGTTGTAGCTAAAATGTGTAGAGCACATACTGTGGTCAGGCACTGTCCCTATCCTTATAACATCTCCGTAAGGGCATTTCTAATACCGTCTCCATTTTTCCCAGGAAGCAACCTGAGGCACAGAGAGATTAAGCAACTGGCGTCAGGTCACAGTGTTAGAACATAATGGAGCTGGCATATGGGCCAGGGAGCGGGGCTTGAGGCTGTGTCCTCTTTCACTCCTTTGCTGGGCTGCCCCCTCATGTCATAGAACCCCACTCTAGAATCAGGACACCCTGCCTTGCTGATGGCCAGTCCCTGGGTTTGGCCAGTGTCATCTCTGTTTCACTCCTATCGAGACGTCCTGTGGGAAAGCAAATGCACTGGAGGAAAATGGCCAAAGGCCCAGAGGGTACTATCTAGGGGGAGACTTAGGATGGGCATTAGCGACTATGAAAACTTCGCCCATTCACTTAAACATTTCATAGACATTTGCTATGTACCAGGCACTTTACCATGTTCCTGGGACACAGGGATGAGAAAGACTTGGTTGCTGTCCTCAACGAACCAAGAGCCTGATGAAAGAAATGTAGAAATGGGAAAACATAATTGTAACCCCGTGTCATGGGCGACATAACATAGCAGAGTGCAGTACGTCAAACATTTAAGGGTTAAATGTAGAGCTCTGGTTAAAGAGGACGGACTGAACACACACATCACCTTTCAATACCCAACTAAACTGACAGTAAAGAAATCGGGTCTAAATTCACAAGGACAAACAAAACCATAGGCAAGACAAAAGCCCGTGTTTTGGAAGCTGGAAATCAGCCGGGCTAGAAGTGATGGACTTGGCAGATACCAGACGGCTGAGTGAGCCAAGAGCGGGGGTGGGGCGGGGCGCCAAGAGGCAACCCCCTTAACACCGCAGATCTCCCCCGGGGCCCAGGAATTTGTGGCACTAGAGGGAGGGTGGAAGTGATACTAAACTGAGGACAACTGACTGAAATTCTGTTTAAGCGTCAGGCAAAGGAAAACTGTGATGAGTATAAACTGTAGAGTAGTAGTCAAGAGCAAAGACGAGAGCCAGAGTGCCTGGGCGAACATCCCCGTTGCACCCTGTACCTGCTACGTCCTTGGTAGATTGTACATGTCAGTGCTCTGTGCCTCAGCCTCCTCACATGAGAAATGGGGAAAAGAGTAGTATCCACCACCCTGGGTTACCGAGTTAATGTACGTAAAGTGTTTACAACAATGCCTAGCACATAATAAATACTAAATAAATGTTGACCATTTAAAAAAGAAGCAGCAGCAGCAGCAAGCAGATTTTCTGATTCCTTCCCACCATGAGGCAGCAAAGTGGCTCATGCTCCCAACCTCAGAAGAAAACTGGAGGTTTATTACCTGGAGAGAACAGAACAGAGGGTCTTTGGCCTGGGAGTGTACCAGACAGAGATGGAGCTGGGGTACGATACTGGAAACAGGGAGAACAAGTCCCTAGACTAAGAGTCATTAAGTGCTGAGCTATTCCTAGTTGTCGCCTCCCTATCAGTTCTGGAACACTGACAGTCTGGCCTTTACGCTCTCTGGGGAATTGGTTCACCTCAAAAGAAACAACTCCATGGTACTTGAATTGGGCGCTCTCCAGCAAACACACAGCTCTGTCTTGACTCATGATACCCACATCTGACAAACCTCTTCCGCGTGCCCAGAACTTCTCGTCAGCATTTCGGTGTTTCCTTCTTAGCTGTGTAAAGACAACCAAGGCTCCCTGGACGTTTATGAAAAAATTTATAATATGAAAGACAGAGACCTCTCCGTACCTCAAAATTGGGAGAGGACAGAAACTCAGATCATGAAGAGAAGTTACAAATGTATTCCATTTGGAGAGAGAGGAAGATGCTTGAATGGTGAAATAAGAAGAGCATATACTGTAGAAAAGCAGCCTTCTGAGAGCTGGAAAGAGTCCTTGGAGAGTGGAAATAGTGTGTCAGAAATGAAAAACCTCATTAGAAGATGAGAAGATACAGAGGATATTTATTCACGTAGTTATTCAACAAGTATTTGTTAACCACATAGGGGAACAGATACCGGTTTGGGAATATGCCAGTAAATAAAATGTAACAACGCTTTCTCTGGCAGTGGAATAATTTTATTTATTCCTGTCTGTATGTCCAAGTTTCTATCTTTCATGGGTGAAAATGTATTTTTTAACGTGTTCTTTTTAAAAGTAGAAGAAAATGTTGTTTCGTTTGGTTTTTAAGAGGAGATTCAACGGTAGTGGGATCTTAGAAACAGTTTCACAATGGAGTGAGGGCAGTGACAATATTGTGTCTGCGCAGAATAGTGTAAGCAGGAGTCTCCCAGGTGGGAACATCTGGGCGCTGGGCCGGAACATCTGGACTCTGGGTGGGAACCCCTGGGCTCTAGGTAGGATGTCTCAGGCAGAGGGAACAGTGAGAGCTGAAGGTCAGGGTTGAGGGAGATGTGGTCAAGGAGGCTGCCAAGTTTCTGGTTTCGGCAAGAGGGTCAGTGTTTTTGATAAAGATAATAAATACTGTAGAGGAGCTGCCTGAGGCAGATCAGTCATCTGTCTCTAACTTCATAAATGCTAGCCTGAGGGAATGTTCTACTTTACAAAACCACTTCTCCCTCACGACACGGTCCCCACCTCCTAGTTCGGTGATTCATAGTTGTAGCTATTGTGAACCAAGGGAGCCTTGAAAGCCCTTAAAATTTTTTATTTCTCCTTGAAAAGTTGTATGGAAGAAAATGATTCATTGTAGGAGGAGCAGATCAAGCATATTGTATGTAAAGCTTTGATGGAAAACCAGGTAAGCTGGTCTAAAAGAGCAATGCATTTCTGGAGCCCTTATTACTAACAATGTATTTACATAACATTTTATGTGTACAAAATGCTTTCAAATATATATGACATTTGAACCTCTGAGAATTAGTTATGGTTTTTCCCCATTTACAGATGAAGAAAGGAACACTCGAGCATTACTTGCCCAAGGTCATAGAGCTCATAAATGCCAGGACCTGTACTAGGTTTGTTGGTTTGCCTGTTTAGTGCCAAATCCCATATTTATTCCAATATACCCTGCCATTTCTTCCCTATATAGTGAGTGCACATGCTGAAATTAGAGGAAACAGTTGATATATGAAAATATTTAAAAAATGAACCATAGTCATAGCCATTGTACTGTTCCCAGCACCTTATCTCTGAATTTCTCAACTGCTTAGCACATTAACAGGATTCTGTGAAGAATTTGAGGTATTCATCATTTGTTTCTGCCTAAGGAAGCAGGTTAGTTTGAGTTACAGAGTTTGAGTTTGAGATTTCACAAATATGACAAATGATGATCTTAAAAAGAATGGTGTACGTACTTGAATGTCAGAAATTCTCCAATGTAAAAAAAAGAAAAAGAAAAAAAAGAAAAAGAAAAAACTAGTCCTGATGACAGTCAGGGGTTAGTGCTGAATCTTAAGGAAGTCTTGACATTTCGTGTCCAGGTCGAAGAGAATGAACCTGCAAAGGAGGCAGAGAGCCAAGAGGTGAGGGGAAAGCCAGTCACAGAGGCCCAGAGACAATGTAGCCAGAAGGAGATGGTGGCTGGACATCAGGAAGTGACCAGAGGTGCTAGGAGGTTCAGTGAGATGAGAACCACTCTAGAAAGGGCCATTGGATCTAGAAATGTGGAGGGCGTTGGCGACCTTACCCAAGCAGAACCAACAGTGGTGTGACAGGGACGATCTGACTAGAGGTAGAAGGGAGCAGATGGCAAGGGACGAATGCGTGAGGAGCCGCAGCACCACAGGGAGAGCCTGGCCATGCAGAGGGGACCAAGGGCAGCAGCCCCCTCAGATAAGGGGTCGCTGTGGGGCTGATCTCCTTTTTTTGGTTACTGTTTTGTTATGTTTTAAAATAGAAAAAGTAGCGTGTAGAAGGGAAGAGATCTCATTGAACAGGAACGATTGAACGTTGCAAATGAAAGAAGGGTTACTCGGGAATGTTCATGATAATAATATTTTTTTGAATTGCCAGGCTACACACAGACCCACTTTTAAATCACTTGTTCATCACAGTGAAGACTGCTGAATGCTTTATAAGGGAAAAGTGCCCCACCATAAAGATTATATGTATTTATTTTTAGAGAGAAGGGGTGGGAGGGAGAAAGAGAGGGAAAGAAGCATCAATGTGAACGATAGACATCGATCGGTTGCCTCTTGTACACTCCCAACTGGGAACCTGACCCACAACCCCAGCATGTGTCCTGACTGGGAATTTGGTCCTCAGAGCGACCCCAACCCACTGAGCCACACCAGTCAGGGCGAGACTGCTGAATTCTTGATGAGCAGGTATTTTGAAAGAGCATGGCACTGTCAGTGTCAACAAAACACAATATTGTCTGTTTATGTGGAAATCTGCTTCTTGATTCATGTACTCAGCCCATCTTTGCCTCTTTCTCCAGGAGCCAGTGAGGATGTGGAGAGTCCCGAGCTGACGACATCTCGGCCGCTTACAAAGATCCTGTTCACTAGTGCTGCTCCGAAAGTAGAAACCACCACGCTGAAGATGCAGAACAAGCTACCTGCTCAGACAAAGGTGTGTTTCGTTTTGCATTGCATTATCAGGTTACTGTAAATTTAATTATATGAAATAGTTCTTTTGAGAGGCCCTATTTAAAAATATGTAAGGACAAATGGTAGTTTTCTTACATTATTGTAAATGGCTTTTCCTTCCTCTTTATGCTTGTTTTGACTTTTACTCGCGGGCTGCTCCTTTTGTGCCTTAAGTAGACTTTGTGTTTTAGAGCAATTTTAGGTTATAGCAAAATTGAGCGGGAAGTACAGAGTGTCTTTTACCGCCTGGCCCCACCTATGTACTGCCTCCGCCACTATCAACAGCCTCCACCAGTGTGTACATTTGTTACAGTCAAGGGACCTACATCCGCATGTCATTAACACCCAAAGTCCGTAGTTTACATTCTTTGGGTTGTCACTCTTTGGATTCTGACAATTGTATAATGACGTGTATCCACTATTATAGGATCATACAGAACAGTTGTCCTGAAAGTCCTCTGTGCTCTGCCTGTTCTCCCCCCACTCAGACCCGGCACCCACTCATCTTTTCACTGTCTCCGTAGTTTCGCCTTTCCCTGGACGTTACGTAGCTGGAACCTTACAGTATGTATCCTTTTCAGATAGGCCTCTTTCACTTAGTAATATGCTTTTAAGGTTCTTCCATGTCTTTTCATGGCTTGATAGCTTATTCTAGGTCCTTTTATCGCCCAGGCCTAGCTTATATATGAATATTCTTAAAGGGTGTTCCTCCTTAAGGAACTCAGAGCCAAATTAAGAAACAACCCTTTTTGGCTTTTTTATTTGGCTCAAGCCAAGAAAATTTATTTTCATTTCATTAAGAATCTGTTCCAAGTTAAAACCATTGTGGACTTTACATATGCTGAAACCAGCTGTGAAATAAGGAGACTCCAGATACTAGTTGCAATAAGTTTTTCTCAGAGTCTCCACCAGCACAGTATCAGTAGTGTGTAAACTTTGATCTCTTTCAGTGATAATGATGAATCTGATTACATTTCTATATAGTATTCATTTTGAGAGCGGACTTATTAAGAAATAAGAACAGAGCAAAAGTACTAGCTAATGAAAACTGTAAGACTTGTGATTTTGACCTTATTAATGTTACATTGCAATTAGCTGGCCACCCACTACTAGGTAAGCTTTTTAAGTTGGAAAATGTATTAAAGTCTGAAGAAGGCCTAGGTTTCAAATCCTGGATCTGGTCAAATTTCTGAGCTTCTCTGAGCCTATTTCTCATGGGTCAATGAGAAGATTAAATGTGAGGGCAGGTTATATGGCCCCTGAGACCTGTGAACATTCTGTAAGGCTTAACTGAACTTGGTTAGAGCAGTTGAGACCAAGCCAATTTGCCAAATAAACATATGTAATAATTGCAGTAGTAGACTTTGTGGACAGTCCAGGACAGCATGCTGTTTTCAGAAACTAAGCAACACAGTGGCCCTTTTTGGAGCTCACCCATCTGTTGGTGCCCAGCTTGAGCAGCAGATAGGCTGTGGAAGGTTGTATTGTGCAGGCAGTGATACTCCTTCTCTGAAGTAAGAGGCACCCCTCTGCTGGCAGGAACAGAGGTGGGCTGCCGGCCCTTTCATTTTCTGCCCTTATCAGAGAGTTTTGGCCTTTCCCTCCTCTATCCACTCCCCCACCCTCTGTCCTCGGTCTTCGCAGTGACTATGAAGAGGATGGTGAATAACACAGCGGGAAGGGTGTCTGCAGATGGGGAGCAGCCAGGTCAGCCCTCTCCAGACTGGAGTGCTCTCTGCGGGATTAAGAAGGGTCAGTTACTGTTTGTGAGTAGCTGATCAACTTCACAGGTCAGGTGATAGAAAAGAAAGGAGAGGCTCTCTGACCACTGAGGCAGCCACACCTAGCATGGTCCATTGCAAGGTGGCTGCTATTAAGTTGAATGAATGAAAAAAAAGAAGGAAGAAGGTGAGAAATGCAAAGTAACAGGTGCAATGGATGGGAGGACAGTTGAACACCTCAGAACGGGTGTGGCACAGTTGTCCAGCATGGGTGTTGAACATGCATTTGGTTTTGCTACATTTTTATTTGAACCACTTGCCATGACTGAATCTCTAGAAGTCAGTGACCATGGAGACTCACTAGCTTGAGGTAAGAAACTCAGTTTTGGCTTTCAGTGATAAAATAGTGTCCTAAGACAAATCTTTGATGTAGAATTCTGGTCAGTTGACAACAATGGATTAAAAATTGATTTAACGTTTTAAAAATTGGCTCTCAGAAAGTAATTGTGTCAGATCAAGATAAAGAAGATAGATATTTGGCACATGAGCTCAGAAATTAAGGATGTCCAAACGTTTTAATATATTTCTATTCCTAGTATCATTTGTGTTCAATGTAGTAACAACAAATTTTATTCATTTATGGGAGATTTATTAAGGGCTATTCATTATGTGTCAAATACCATTCTAAGTACCGATAATTGATAATATTGACAATGAATAATAATAGTGATTACATTTTTATTTTGTAGTTACACAGCACAACTAAATTAAACATTGCCTCTAGGATACTACTAATGTAGACTTTGCTTTTGAATGAGTTTCGCAGCGGCATTAGTGTCACCGTTATAGATATTCTTTCTAGTTTGTTGTAAATTTATGTGGCAAAAAAACAAAAAGAACACAGTTAATTGTTCAAGCAGAACATTGCTCTTAATCTTTTCCTTCTATTACATTTCTGTGGTATTTAAACAAGCAGACATGGATGTGACAGATCTTTCACTGACTTCATTTAATCATCTGGGCTGCCTTTTGGTACTTTCATTTTGCACATACATACAAGAGTTAAAGTATTTCTGATTAATTCTGTACTACAGGAAGAATTTTTTTTTTTAGTGAAGCCCCTCCTTCCATACAATAAAACTTTCAGTTTAAAGAATGTGTGTCCTCTCTAGAGCACCTGGAGGCTGTGCTCTGCTGGACCATTCCTCAAAGGTCACAGTGACCCCACTTCTGTGGGGCTCTCCTGTCCCCACACTCGCACCCCTGGGATGCCTGCTGCCTCCTGGCTGCTGGACTGGAAGCTGAGTCAGGGGATATTGAAGTGTTAACTCTCTCAAATGATTCTAGGGACTCAAAAACCTGAGGGGACATTATGTAATTTTTCATGACAATGGGACATGTGGATGAAAGATGTAGTTAAGTTAAACTCAGCCTCTAATATCACAGTAGCTACTTATGTCTACCTCAAGTGCCACCAGAACTTGCTTACCTCCTTCCTTCCCTTCCCTTGTCACAAACCTGAGTATCCACCCATTTGAGTTTTCTGTTCCCTTTCCTAACCTCTAGGGGCAGTGCTAACGAGCCATGAAAATGTTCCTAGATTAGAGCCCGGACAATCCATTCTCTTATCTGTTGGGTTGTCCTTCTGACAGGCAGCGGGTCAGCAATGGGATTTCAGGAGAACAGAGAAAACCCAAGCAGAGGACACCAAGGAGCTTCCCCTCTTCTGCTTTATTTTCATACATGAAGGCAGGGGAAGACCCTTCATGCTTTCTCTTCTCACAATGGTGTGAGAGAACGTGAGATTTGGGGTGCGTTTTGTGCAGCTGTGAAATGATCATTTACCCATGGCCTCTCCTTTTTGTAAGTGAGAACATGTTGAGGTTTCAGTCACTAGAGGGTTACTCATGGCTTGGGAAAGGAAGACTTTATTACACTACACTATATCTTAGCCTCACTGGAAACCTAGTGCTTGGTTCAGCAAGGCGGGGACCCACTGACCTCACATACTCTGGAGTTCAAATGGATCCTCCTGGTCTAGTTGATGGTTCTTCCTAGAAATGCCCGTGACCATGAGGCACCCCAAGAAGGTGAGTCTTTTTAAGGTTATTTAACTGTCGAGTTGTAAGTAGCAGGCTGCCACTTTGGGTGAACCCCGGCTTTCAAAAAGCAATCAGCCGCTTCACTGGGCCGCAGCTCAGAGTCCTAATGAAGAGGGTTGGCTATTCTTAGGAAGAGCAGTAGAGCTAAAAAGGATTATTGTCTTCAGTAATAACCCAGTGCCACTGACAGTGTTTTCTATCCATACTATTGACAACAAGAACTTCAGGCTCATAGAGAATAAGCAACCCATGTAAACTGAGATTCTCTAACCCAGTAGTTTTCAGACTGTACAGTTGTTTGGAGAGCTTTATAAAAAAACAAACAACAACAACAAAAATCAGTGGTAGCTTTCCCACCCCAAACCCACTGAAACAGAATCTCTAGTGTATTTTGTTTTTAACTTTTTAGGTTTTGTTGTAACCGTAGGTCATTCACACAGGATGGACAGTGATGGAGCTGAGTGTTAGGAAGCCAACAGAGGATTTATGTGTCGATGTTGTAGACTGTAAAGTGCCTTGGGGTTTCAGAGAGGTGAAAGATGAGGGAGGGCTTTTTAAGGACAAATGGACAATGGAAGAAGTGGAAGATTTGGGCTGGAGTTGGGAGACATTCATGAACCAAGGCACAGATATTAGGGTCGATTTTGGTTAAGTGGCAATAGAGATGGCTGTGCAAGGTTTCCTTCTGGGCGTTAAGCTGGGGTGAGACTAGAGACCGTCCAGGATGTGCAGTTATGAGGTTGTTGCAAGAACCAGGGTGGGATGTGTTCCCCACCTGAACGAGGCAGAGGAAATGAGAATCCAAGGGAGGGATTTAGTTGGAGAGAATGGTGAAAGGCAAATTGGCAGGGCTGTGACACAGCAAACTGTGATATGGTTTGGAATGTGCAAAAATACTAACTCTGGGAGGAGGCCCAAAAGAATAGTTGGAAATAGAAAAGGACGTAGATTTGATTCAGTGCTGCAGCCAAGGGTTGGTGTCTTATGGGCTGCTGGGTGGATAATAACGCTGACCAGAGAGGAGGTTTCGAGAGATAGTATGTTAGATTTACACGTATAGGATTGTGGAATACCCAGGGGCCTGAGGGTGTTCTTCACTGGTTGAAAAAAACCGAGGTCCAGAAAAGTGGTGTGACTTAGTCAGGGTCACAACAAAGCTACTTGCAGAACGCAGGTCCCTGAAGCCCTACTCCAGGGTTCGCTGAATAGGGGAGAAGGCTTAAGTAGAAGAGAGGATCATACTCGGTAGGGTAAGGCTGGGGGCTGCTCCCCACAGAGTGGGGTTAGAAAGAGCCCTCAGACAGCACCTGGAAGGAGCGCCTAAAAGGAAGCCATCGCGGTGCCCTGTGTCACTAAGGAGAATTGGGACAGTGCCACTGGGCTGGAGCAGCCAGAAAAAGATGGTGGCCTGAAGTCAGGAGAGTGGTGAGAAAGGAGAGATCTTATGAAACAGCCATTAAAACCACCTAACCACGTCATTAGCATTGTTATGAACTCGTTATCTATCTTGCCTACACATGTGATGGCTGTTATACAAAACCATGAACTCCATGGGTTTATCACAGGACTCACCCATTTGGTAAAAACATCACACAAGCTGATTATCTCAGTTATCTCCTAAATTCATTGTTTGAGGGCAAAAAAGCAACTTGGAAATATACTTATCTTTTTAACACATTTGAAAAAATCTTTACAATCTTTCCCTTTGCTCCTACCAGTCACCTGAAGAAAATAAGGACAAAGATCACCACTCTGACTCAGAAAGAAAAATGGACCCAGCTGAAGAGGATACAAATGTATATACTGAGAAGCACCCAGACAATCTGTTTAAAAGAACAGAAGTCCTGGCAGGTGAGAAGTCTAGCCTGGTAAGGGGTAAGGTGAGAGGGTTCTTAAATAGGCCTCCCTGTTTGTCCGCGTGAGCTTCCGAGGCGTGGGCAAAGCTTGCTGAACGTCACCTTTCTACTGAAGGCCCCCTGGGGGTTGGGGGTCTCATTCCAGAATGAGCGGTAAGAGTTAGGCAAATGTATTTTCTGTCATCTCTCTCACCCTTGTCCTTGGACAGCCATGTCAGGGAGTTGGGGGTGGGAGAAGAGGAAAGTTAAGATTGTTCCAGAGCAGCTGGGCATGGGGGATGGCATGATGCGAGATCAATCAGTCTTGCTCCAAGTCATGCTGATTTCAAAATAAATTTAAGAGAAGGAGAAGTTCTTCATGGAGAAGGCCATCGACACAAGTAACACCCAGGGCATTAAAGATGTTTCTCTAATTAACTTATCTGATGAAAGTATTAACATTCCTTGTTAAAGGGGAAGATTTGCAAGATATAAGAACACTTAATCCTTAAAAGGATAATCCCAAATCCAAGTCTAGAAAAAAAAATTGCATGCTTTTTTCCTATTTACTCTTACAAAATTTAAGTAAATCATATCATGCTTTGTGTTTTCATTGAAAAAGTGTTTAAAAAATTAGACTGTGAAATGTGAGAACTGAAAAGACTAAAGAATCTTAAGGTATGGGATTCATCGAGCTCACAGCCAGATTTCTCTTATTGAGGCTTTTGGGTGATGTTATTAATACAAATCAAAGAAAGTGTTATACCTTTCTGAGGAATGTCAGAGTTGCGCAATTGTCTGGTTGCTTCATTGAATCCAGTTTTTACATTTTCGGGGGTTTTCAAATTAAGCCTTTTATGAAAGTGTCGTAAAATAGATTGGGCTTGACAAAGCTATTTCTCCAACCATTGAATGTCTCCTAAAAGTAATCTCCCTTTTGGTGTGTTTCAGCTGTCATTGCTGGTGGAGTGATAGGCTTTCTCTTTGCCATTTTCCTTATCCTGCTGCTGGTGTATCGCATGAGAAAGAAGGATGAAGGAAGTTATGACCTTGGAGAGCGCAAACCATCCAGTGCTGCTTATCAGAAGGCACCTACTAAGGAGTTTTATGCGTGAAACTCCCACTTAGTGTCTCTATTTATGAGATCACTGAACTTTTAAAAATAAAGCTTTTGCATAGAATAATGAAGATCTTTGTTTTTTGTTTTTTCATTAAAGAGCCATTCTGGCACTTTAATGATAAAATCCCATTGTATTTAAAAACTTTTCATGTATTTCTTTAGAACATAAAATTAAAACTTAACATCTGCAGTGTTCTGTGAATAGCAGTGGCAAAATATTATGTTATGAAAATTCTCAATATTCATGGAATCAGTTTAAACTTTTATGCGCAAATATGAACCGATTGTTTTTATTCAATGGTTCAGAGATGAAAGCTGTTTAATTTGTGTCAGCATGTCTCCAACTGACCTAACCAGGTTGGTCTTAGTTTGTTAATTTATCTGTTTTCCCTTCTCCTCTGCTCTCCCTTTGTGTCCCTTGGAAAAGAAAACAAAACTCTATGCCTTTTGTAGCTGTTACGGTGCAATTTGTCTTTGGATAATTCAGATAACGGTAATTTAGTGTATATGTGATTTTCAAATATGTAAACTTTAACCTCCACTTTGTATAAATTTTTAAGTGTCAGACTATCCATTTTACACTTGCTTTGTTTTTCATTACCTGTAGCTTCAGGCAGATTTGCAACAGCAAATTAATGTGTAAAATTGGATTGTTACCAGAAAACTGTTTAGTCATATCTAATCAGATCTTCTTTTGGGAGGATTTGATGTGAGTTATTGACAAGCCTCAGCAAACCCAAAGATGCTAACAGTATTTTGACAAGTTGCTGCAGATTCCTTTGGCCACTGTATTTGTTAATTTCTTGCAATTTGAAGGTACGAGTAGGGGTTTAAGGAAAAATCAGTTTTTGTTCTTAAAAATGCATTTAAGTTGTAAACGTCTTTTTAAGCCTTTGAAGTGCCTATGATTCTATGTAACTCATCACAGACTGGTGTTAATGAGTATATATAACAGTTAAAAAAAAAGTTGGTATTTTATAAGCACAGACAATTCTAATGGTAACTTTTTTTGTAGACTTACGAATAGACATAAATTGTAATTTGGGAACATAAAAACTACTGAATAAATCATGTGGCCTAATAATTGAAAATGTCACGGTTATAAATTTTGTACATTTCGATCAAATGTACATCTCCCCTTTGCCATTGACTGTCTGCTCTCCAGAATGACGTGGGCTTGATTTCTCAGTGTTCCACAGCATCTGTAAATCACCACCAAAGAGCTCCTCATTAAAGGCTGTCACAGCTTCACTTCCGAATTGGCCAGAGGAATTCTGAGTGTATCATCTTGTGTGTATTGGGGTGTAGATATTGGAAGACTGCCAGGGTGGGAACGGTGACGTTTCCACCCCTTATCAGAGAGCTGATGGCAATATTGAGACAGATGCCTGCTCTCACAAACCACTTTTGGGGCTATCAATGCCAATGAACCGAAGGGGGCTTTTCTGACGTCGGTATCTTAAGATTTAGATTTATAGTTTGATTTACCTTTGGAACTGTGCTCCAAATCTCTCCTGAAGCTGAACCCGAAGAGCTAATAAATGGAATACCATCATTCACACTGTAGGGAAGGAGAGAAAGGCAGGGAGGCTCTCTGTAGCAAAAGGAGGGCCTCACCACTTAGGGCTGAAAGTGCGGGCAAGCAGTGATGAGTGAGGGAGACGGAAGGAGGGTCCCCTGCCTGGGTACTGCTTTCTAATCGAACATTTCCTTTTTCTATGTTGCCATTAATTTTGTTTTAAATTATGAGCTTCCAAAGTAGGAAGAAGACAGCAAAAACAGCGACCTTTGCGATGTGTAATTTACTTCAAATAAATATGACTATTTCATTTCGAGAACATCTCCACAGAACTCATTTCTTTACAAAAATGTAAAGCAACACCTGGAACAGTGTTTACTTAAATTTTTAATGGCCTTAATTCTCAAATTCCTGCCCCATCACTTACAGAACGAATTTGCTTTGGAGCGATTAAAAGGAAGTGATAGCACCTTCTAAAGCTGCCCCACTGTCCCTCAGTTTCAAGGTTAAGAATCCAGTGAGCATACCTCTCACAGTACAAAACATAGTAAAACTCAGTTTGCAGAATAACAACTGCTTGGAAACTCTATTCCTGGAAGAGAAAAATTCTGGCAAATATTTTGTCACTGCTGTAAAGCAAAATATTTGTTAAAGTGCCAAAATAAAGTCTGTCATGCTGAAAGTTTAAAAAAAAAATCATTGTATAGACTGACATCCAGTTTTCTTCAACTGTATGTTTTCTGCCTACTTTTATTATTTTTTAATTTTAAGATGCAATAAATAGTGCTATAAAAAGTGTTAGTTATGATTACCGAGTTCAGAAAAATTTTGGTCAACTATAAATATTAAAGCCAATGTGAAAATTTCCTGTTTCCTTAACCACATGTAAATGATTTCCTTTGTGTGAATATGGCTTTGTGTTTGAGAGAGCTGCAGCACTTAAACTGACCCGTTTTTAACTTATGGGGGGAAATGGGATGAGCTCACTGTTTTTGAAAAATTTCAACCATGGGTCAGTAGTCTCTGAACTTCATGATTAGGACCTGGTTAATGCAATTGAATTTAGGTTGGAGAAGTTTGCAGAAATTGCCACCTATAAATGTTATAAGTTCGTAGTTTCAGATCAAATGTTTAGTGAGTTGGTCTTTTTGTAATGCACATCTTTTTGCAAATTAGGTGAAATACACTTCCTTGTTGAGGGTATAGTTTCTTTGAATAGAGTTTAGGAAACTAAGTAAGTAGAACATAATTAATGAGCTTACTCTGGTTGCCCTAAAATAAAATGTCCTACCAACGGTGCGGGTTCCTGCATGAACAGGTGCAACAATAACTTAACAGTTTGTAGGAGCTTATTTCTTCACTCTCTTAGACATTTTGAAACTTTAAGGAAATCTTTTTTAGGAGCAAAAATATAAAACCTGGAAATATTGCAGGGCTAATTTTATGAGCAGGATCTTTTTTTATAGCTTTATTATAATTATATTGTATAACGGGGTGGCAGAAAAACATATTTTTAATACAATGGGTTTAAAAAGGCAGTGACTTTAGGCAACAGACACTGTAACTTTTGCTTCTAAGCTGTTCCAGACAACAGGGGGACATCAGGGGGTTTCTGATTAAAAGTGATCGTGCCGGATGATAAATGGAGCAGCATGACTTGAGTAATCACTGAGGTGTTTTTTTGTGCTAATATTTTATTACCATAGTGAAATTTGAGATTTGGCCATTTCTGGGGAACTAAATGTTGCCAGCATAGAAAACTTTAAAAAGGGTAGAACAACTGTGCCATTTAGTGGTAAAAACAGTATTAAGGTGAATTTTGTCCCACCCTCCTAACTCTGGCTGACTTCACACTCATGATTTATGGTCCTAAGTTTTCATCCCTGTTTATCTGCTGCACACAGTCTGTAGCAGGGCTTTTTCTGAGAACGGAATTGTGGTCACTTTGGGAGCAACTGGGTTTCCTGAGAATTAGCTAGAAGGGTGTAACCCAAGCAATAGTTCTAACACACAAATGGTGCAGTGAAGCTTTAGGCTTTGGTTCTTCAGATGAACTGAGCACAGGTTCAAATTGCAGTAGCCTTGGCAAAATAGCAAACCAGCAACAAACACTTTTATGCACATGACATCAGAGGTTTATTCAACAGATATATGCCTACTGACTATGCCTTGGGCACTTTTCTAGAAGCTGGGGGTTTAGTGATGAACTAGATAGAGACCCTGCTCTCATGGGGATTCAAGAAGGGTGCATAGTGCCAACTAAATAACACAAGTGGGAATTATCAGTTGGTGGCGGTTTCCATGATGGACATATGCAAGTTATTGTAAGGGACTGAAAGATTACACCAGTCCAGATAGGCCGGGCATGCTGCAGGAACAATCTTAAAGTCTTAGCAACTTAAAACAACTAAAGTTTATTTCTTGCTCATGTGACGTATCCATGGGTTGGCCGTTCTCTGAATAATTGTCACCCTTAGTCCAGATCTCAGGCCAGTGGAGTAGCTATTATCTGCAGCACTGCACATCACTGTGATAGAGGAAAAATACTGGTGAAACGCATGGTAGCTCTTAAGGTTTCCCCTCAGCAGTGACATGTTGCTTCCACCTACATTTCATGGGCCAAAGCAATTTTTGTGGCCACACCTAACTTCCAGGCTACCGAGAAGTGCCATCCTACTTTGTTCCCATTGGAGGAAGATGGGATATTTGTGAACAACTATAATTACTATGGCCTGGTCAGGAGAGACTTCTGAGAGGTTAAGGCTGAATGGTGTGGAGCCAGTGGTACTAAAATCGGGACAAGCATTCCAGATGGTAGGAAGCCCTAAGCTGGGAAGGAGCTTAGCATATTGGAGGGCCGATAAGAAGGCCAGTGGTCCAAGAGGTGGAATAAAAGGGATTAGGAGTGTAATTGTCTTATTTTTTTGTTTACTTATACTTTATTCTCCTCAAGGAAACCAGGCTGATCTCTACAGTAGAAATGATTTTATGTTACTCCCTTCAATGGCTCCTATAGCACTTAATAAACTTCTGGCTCCTTACACTTGTCCTCTAGATCTTCAAGAGCTGATCACTGGACAGTGCATAATCAGGAGGCACAGTGGAGTAGCACAGCCAACAGGAAGCCATGATTGTCCCCTTGGCGAGAAATGATGGTGGCTTGGCCACAGAAGGTAATAGCAAAGATGGAAAAAACTGGAGAGGAACTGTTTGGGGAGGTGGAATCAACAGGCCTTGTAAAAAGTTGGAACAAGTGAGGAGTAAAGAACAGAAGCAAAGATGACACCCATATTTTTGGCTGAGCTGGGTGAGTCGCATATTTAAGAAGGGCAATATCGGGGAGTTGGCTGGTAAAACAGGAGTTCTCTTTGGGCCACATTAAGTTAGGACTGTTAGGCACCCAAGTGGAGGTGTCAGCTGAACAACTGAAAGAATCTAGAGCTCAGAGAAGAGGTCTGAGCTGGAGATACTAATTTAGGAGTAGCATCCTTCATTTGCTTGTTGGTACACTGACTTATTTCCTTCTGTTTTCCTGTTCCACTCGAATAGAAGTTAAGAGTAGGGAGGCAGATGGCCCACACAAACTACATTTCCCAAGCTGCTTTGCCAATGGCTTCTGGCAGAGTTTAGCCAATAGAAGGTACTGGTAGAACACTAAAGGTCAGTAGGAAGGGAAAAGCCAGAGTCCTTTGCCCACTCCCTGCTTTGGGCAACTTCTCTGGCATTAGCGAATCTTCTCTATGGTTTGAATTCCCAGGAGACTGATTCTCCTTCAAGTTCCCAGCTCCCACTGTTTGTAGACTCACATAAACTCACTTCCCCACTTTGTCTCTCATCCTTAGGGAGGGTAGCAGCTTCCTGCCGTAGCTAGTCGCTGGGTTATCTCACTGTTTCCAGTTCGCCCTTCCACTTTTTCCAACATCTTTATAACTAAACCCCCAGAGTAAATTCCCTCTATGCATTACCTGCCTGTGTTCTACTTTCCTTCCTGGACCCCAACTGATGACAAAGGAGTGAAGAGCATATAGATGCTATCAAAAGCCACGGGACTGGATGAGAATATCTGGAGAGGTAAGTGCATGGAGAAGGAGGGTGGCCCTGGGTTGGCCTTCTAGCACAGTCTTTTTTAGATGAACCACTACCAGATTCATTCTTTAGCTCTGGTCACAGGACTGGGTTTTCATTTCAGCAGACGGTTAGCAAGGAAATAATCTTTCATTGCAAAGGGGGGAAAATCATATGTATCACAAATTTGCACATTTGAGCAAATTAATAAACATGTTAAAGTATATCTGCTTCCACCAGGACATTGATAACATACAGTAAGTACTTTTTAAACTTTTTTAGTAACTGGGTAGAAGAGTAGGAACTATTTCAATATTCAGAAAAGAACTCTATTATCTGTGTTTAATGGGAAAATAGCAAACAAAACAGGAGTTCTTGTAGCCTTGCGCAGGGTCACTGAAAGCAGGACTCTTGCCTCTTTAATAATTTCTGCTTAGGTAAATACCAAAGTAAACTTGGATTTCCTGTGTCCCGACCAGTTGCAAGGAAAAGCAACAAAGATGGTACAAAACATACATGGGTCAGACCCAGAACTTGGGAATCATAAACAATCCCCTTTTCTGATGACCCATTTGAGTCCTTTTCTTTTTTTAATGTTATTTTCTTCCCACTTAGTTACTTTTTTTTCACATGTAAGATAAAGATAGTAACAGCCACTGCATTGGCTTGTGGGAATTCAATGATGCACATTTAATGAGATGATGCACTTAGCACCTAGTAAAACATCAATACAGGATCATTTATTCATTCCCCCACCAAAGGTTTCCTAGGTGCTCACTGTGTACCAGGCATACTTTCAGGCCCTGGGAATACAGGCACCAACAAAACAAAGTTCCTGCTCTCAAGGAACTTATATTCTAGTGGGAAGAGGCAGACAATAAATATGTCATATAGCAATGAGAAGGTGACATTCAAGGAGAAACTTGAAGGTGGTGAGGAATTAAGTCATGGTGGGTGGGGGAAGAACTCTGGGAAGCTGAGGAGCATTTCAGGCAGAAGAAATCACAGGTGCCAAAGCTCTGAGGGTGGCCGAGGTGCAAGTGAGCTAGAGGCTAAAGAGGAGGGCAGTAAGTGAAGGATGCATGGGCCATATGGTACCTGTGCATCCTCATAGCCGATGCACTGACCTTGGAGGGCGCTGTGGGATATTGAACCAAAAAGTGACATTATCTGGCCTATGCTGAAAATTCATTCTTAAACTTTAGCAGGCATCGGAATCACTAGGAGAACTTGTTAAAACACAGATTTCTGGGCCCCACCTCCAGAGTTTCTGATTCTATAGGTGGGTAGAACCTGAGAACTGGCATTTCCAATATGCCCAGGGAGCTCACTTGGGGAACCACTGCTTCAAAAGGATTGCTTTGATATTGTGTTGAGAATAGATTGGTTGCGGGTGGTGCGTGTCAGCAAAACACACAGCAGGAAGACTGGGGAGAGGCTATTGCAGTATTCATGGAGAGAGACAACCATGGCGGATGAAGTGGTGAGAAGTGATCAGATTCTGGAGAGCCCAGGTGGCCCCCAAGTCTGGAAAACCCAGGTGAAAAGATAAGCAATGGTTTACTAACAGTACATTGTAATACACTCATCTCCCAGATGGCCACAGCTCTAGTTTCTTCCCTTCTTAGGATATCAGGATCACTGTCCTTACCTAGCTAGTCCCTGTAACCTCACTCCTTTCTCTTCACTCCTATAGCCTTCAACATATACCTTTTTC